AATTTACTATATCTTACTATATTCTAGGTGCTTTTTCCACTCCCTGAAAACAATCATACACATAAAACAAGTATCAAGCAAGGATACCTGCTTGAGCAGGGGATGGACCATACAGCCTCCACAGACCTCTTCCAACCCAATTCAGTGATTTAACTGAGACTTTCTATAGGAGATCACATGGGCGATTAAGGTCTTTGAACTTTTCATGGGAGTTGATGTTGGATGGTTTCCAGTGGGTGACTGTTTGTCACTGAGAAAGTTTTAAAACTTCCTACTCTTTAAATGGGTCGATAGCTTCTGAGGAAAAAGGTAGAACCGGGGTCAGCCACCCACATTATATACCTAGCTTCTTCAACTGGGATGTACACGGGATATTTCAGCAATACCAGCAGCATTCTGAGCACTTGGAATTTGTGGTGGAAAACATCAAAGTGATGGCACAGCAACGATGCAGTATTTTAAGACCTGTAATTCAGACTTACTGCTCTTGCAGAGTATTCTCAAAAGGAGTATCTGAAGCCGGAAACACATGGGAAGCAGAGAGCTGTGTATCCTCACAATTCAGGCCACATGAAGTGTACACACCAAGGAGACACAGGAGTAATCAAGTCATGCAGGTGCAACAGATACCAAAAACTACAAGAAGCACTCCATATCTTTCCAAAGAAAAACACAGTTCCTGATTTTAAAGACAACAGTATTCTATGAACACACCTGTATTCTCCAGGCTAAGAACAAGCTGTTTCAAGAAGCAATTAACCAAAACAAATTTCAATAAGATGCTTTATTATACAAGGGAGTTTTAGCATGAAGATTAGCCAACTAGAACATACCATTTATTTCAATATACATCAGTTTACTCCCGTGACATAACGCAAGGAAACCTGCATTTAATTGATAATTGGGAATGAGCTACTGACCCACCTTTGCCGGCCAGATCATAAACTCTTATTCTGAAGCCTCTCAGAAAACCAGACCAGTAGTAGTGCGCTTTTCTAATAACCATCCTGGCTAGATTAGCAGATGAAACAGAACTTTAAATCAGTGGCAGGTCTCCCAAGTTCCCACGGTGCCATAGATTTAGTAAATGGGATCAGTATGTTCTAAAAAACCACGATAATATGAGGGAAAAGGTTCCACAGCATCAAACAGTGCAATGCTTGAAACCTCATAATCAAAGTGACAGTTTTCAAGTGCCATTTACAATGCCCTAATCTGGAAACATCCCAGCTAACCCATCTGATCAACTATTTCACAGATGGAAGCACTTGATGGCTAATTGGCAAGTCCATTATTCAAATAAAATAGCTATCTGCACTTCTATTTTCTATATTCCAAGTCAAGGTGTAAACACTCCTTGTAAGACACAGGTCACTTCTCTCCCTTCCTTCCCATTTGGATATTTTCCCCTTCCCCTGCCATCAAATATGTTAATACAGAAGTAGAGGAACAATTTTATTTTCCATATATTGCAGTAGAACGTCTGCACTGACAGAGCAATGTAAGCTATTTTCAAAAAAATCATTTGAGAAATCAAAATTAAATTAAAAAAATATCATTATTTCACTGCTTCCTCTCACACCTGGACTGAGAAAGAGACAGGATGCATTTGCATGGACAAGAACTTGTATAGCTAGGGTTATTGTTCTCAACATGTCAGGGAAAAAGCTCTGCTCTCAATTTACTCACACTCTGAAACAGTATCCAGTAGGATTGCCTAATAGAGGCATATGTGGAACTGATTTCACTAGCAAACAATAGTTCAGCATACAAAATGAAGAGGAGTGTTGCTCCAAATTCATGCCGGCTGCACAAGAAGAATGCTTTTACGTACCCCACAAAGCCTGTTAATTTGTCTGCAGCAAATGTACAATGCAAAACCAAGTACTAAATCACCGGTGAAATTCTGTGGTGAGCAGTGTTTCATGAGGATACAAATGTGATATAATACAGAAAAGAATGAAACAGGAAAGGGGAGATAACTAAAAAGCCCAACATGACAAGAAGCAGAGTCAGGAAGAGAAGAGACCAAACAAGAGGCCAACACAAGGAGGTACCTTCAAAATCTAAACTTCCATGAACAACAGAAGGGACGTGAAAGGACTAATAGATGTTTAGTTTAGGACATCACATCACTTTGTGTTCCCTAACTCTTTTTTCCCTTCCCTTTTCCTTCCTTCCTCTTTTCCCCACCCCAAGATGGCATTCCTTCATTCATCTAAGACTAATAACGAGGATATGGTCCACAAAGTTTCTAAGCCATAAGTCACTGGAGGGAAAAACTTATCATTCCTAAAGTGGTATTTCAACAATAGCATGCATATTGCCTTCATCAGACTTTTATTAGCCATATGAAGATAGTCAGTGCTAAATTCCATTGACCCTAAGCATATCTCTGGACAGTTTCCAATAGTATGCTGATAGAGCAAACAATAAAAAGAAAAAATTGATTTCCTTAAAGCAGTTCCCAAGTAGAATATAAGACACCAAAAGACTTTTGAAAATAAATTCGTAAAAACAAATCCAACTAGCTGCAGGAACAGCATATTGTAGTTCAGAAATAATAGGAAAAAAAGAAAAATCACAGAATAATAAATAGAACAGGTTGCATTGTCAAGAGGAAAGAGACAAGCGCTATTGAAGTGAGTCAATGAGAAACAAGTCCACGGTCAAGATCGAACCGTGCTTACCAAGCATTTGCTGTTACTCAAACATTAGTTACAAAGCAAATCAAATGGACTACTATCCAACATGATGTGATAATCCTCTTACCAATCAAACCCCTAGCTAAAATATATATATATATTTTATATATATAGCTAGCTAATATATATATATATATATATATATATATATATGAATTGCATTACATAATATTCATTTTAAAGTGTTTCTTTTCCTACAAGTTGCTACATATAAACAAATCTTAGGTCTTTCCAACAGGTGTTTATCACTATGCTCAGCCTTAAATGAAGAACCTTCAAAGGCAACTGTGACACAGCACTAAGAAAAACAAAGTTACATACCATTATTTAGAACACTCCAGGGCAACCAAAGGGTAGTAACTTTGTTTATTTTACAGCAGGACAAAGCATTTCCAATAAATTTCCCAATTTCTCTCTTCCACCTCAGTTATCTGATTCACTCTAAATTATCTCTCAATCAATCAACATTCAAAACAGAAGTGATCTCTGAAGGTCCAATGAACAATGTATCTTAAGGATGCAGGATTATTGGTTTTGAATAGCCTTCCTGCTGTCTGAGTAAACCAAAAAGACTACAAAAGTAGCAGAGAGATTCAGCGCAAGCAGCAACTTGCATAAAGAGCAATTCACTTTTCCACTTTTTTTTTTTAATCCAAGACATACTCATCAATTCATTTAAGAGACAACTCCATATTTAAACAAACAGAGCAGTTTTGCAGGCCAAAGCTGCCAGAGGAGTTCATCAAGCTGCTTTTGAGTATCATATTCTATTGTCTGCCTCAATTTTCTATCAAGCCTTAAGTTAAAGCTGAGAAATTCAGAACGCAGCCGAGAGAGTTAACTGTAAATTTGAAAAACAGCTTTGATATGCGTCAAGTTCAGAGAGGACCAAGAAGTGAAAGCTTGAGTGATTAGACTGCGCAGATGTTAAAAAAATGAAGAGTCATGAAGCAGGCTGGCAGCTCAGAAGAACAAGAGAAATAAATGTTTAAGAAAGTTAAACTAAAAATAACCGAGAGCTGCTTGAAGATTCACTAAGAGAGCGTGAATAGAATTTTAGCTATAAAAAGGAAAAAAAATTATGCACAAGAAGTTACAGCTTATTTGGCAAAACACCTAGAGGCTGGAAATCAGTTTAGAATATACCACCAAATGCTTCAGTATTAAACCACTCATTTCCTAGTTACACCGGACACAAACACAACACAGAATCCAAAGAAGCTGTGGGTTTCACAATTTCAGTCATTCCAGAAAGAAACGAACACACACATCACAAAGTCCAAGATAAGCAGAACTGATTCCTCCAGAAGAATGACAGCCTGGATTCCAGACTTAGAACCGAGCTCCTGAGGCAGATCAGGAGAAAAGAAAGAAGCCAGCTACCGTGTCCAGCTGAGACCAAAAGGAAATTCCACTGAAGACCTGTCTTTTCCTTAAAGAAATAATTCTTCCTAGAAGCTTTGGACAGAGGTTTTTTTTTTGTTTGTTTGTTTTAAATTACCCCCTGTATTGACAGTAGCCAGGAATAAATCTCACACCACAATGTAATAACTTCAGCTTGGTTTTATTTTTGAAGACTGCTGGCCACACCAACCGGCCCAGAAAAAAAAGCAAGGAAGTCTTGCGCTAGAGGTAGGAGAGGCCGTACAATGTGTGTGGGCTTTGCACTGGAACAGAACAGCTGCCACAGGGGTCTTTTTGCTGTGAGCAGCATTACAGCAGCAAGGACAATAGCAAACAACATAAAACAGTAAAACACACACAAGAGGCTACAGCTACCCAAAAGTGATGAAATTATCATGCTGACATTTACATATACCTCAGTATCTTAAGAACTGTTGTGATGGGCATTATAGGTACTGAAATATATCTTAAAAGCTATAAAATAAGATTAAGAGATATATTGAAATAGCAAATGAGTATGTTCAGCCATTTTGAACAAAATTACTGTTTGGAAAAAACACTATTATAGGAAAATGATTTTTGAATTTTATTCTCCATTTTCACTGCTTTTGAATCCAAACTTAAACCGTTCAGACACCAAATTAAAGGTTTATAAACATTCTGTAAAATCACAGTGCCAACACAAGTGTTCATACTGACAAGAAAAACAGTCAGGCTGTAACAATGATTTGCATACATTTATATAGCATCTCTAGAGTCAGAGATTATTATTATGAATTCTGTGGTTGGATTTTTTTTTGTGTGGGGTGGTGGTGTTTTAAACATAATTAAATGCATATTCCAGTAATTGATTAATATTAAGAAGAGGATATTGACAAGCTGTATACTAACCTGTCCCAGCCCGGGCATACCTCCTCCAAGTCGTAGAAGTCTATCCATATTTCTAAAAAAAAACAGAAACAAAGGAAAAAATGTCCCCAGGCTCTGAAGTGTTTACTAAATTGCTATCTATATAATTCACCTTCAGTCACTCAGTATGTCAAAAATATTGGTGGTAATTACAACACAACATCAGACTTCCTGTTAATTAACACCACATATTAATTCAAGAAGCTGTCTTCCATACTAATTAACAGACCTTGTTTTATTGCTTTGGTTTTGGGTTATCCCCATTTCTGAAGATGAGTACTCTTGTCAAACTTTTCAAAACTTTCCTATCATTCAATTAATTGGGGGAGGTTTTTTTGCTTGAGAACAGCACCTACATCCAGGAAGTGCTTAAAACTTATTAGATATACAGTCAAGTTTACTCCAATTTGTTCAAAAAGCATCAATAAAAATGTGAAAGTAAGGATTTTAGCATCCTCATTAGTAAGTTCTGCGCTAATTAACTTACAGCTTGTCAGTTATCATCAAAACTACATGTGAAAGACACTGAGCAGATTATGGATCTCTGAATTAGCATCAAAAGCTTTTTTTTAATGAACTCATTATACTAAAAGAAATACTGTAAAGTAAACATTTAATGTGTATATAGTTAGAACGCTAGTGATAGTACAGTCATTTAATACATTTCCAGTGTTGCATGAGGCACTGCTTTAGCGCAAGATTATTCCAATCAACACAGCTAACTCGTTACTTTCTTGGAGAGAAAAATTGAGGTTTTCTATCTTGTAATTTTTGAAGTACTGATCTCCAGGAATAAATCATGTTAAGGTACCCAACTGAAAAATTAAACAAATGTTCATTAGTCTCCAGTTTATTCACTTTATATTGTTGAAAAACAATACTTAATTCTAGCTACCTAAGTAAGGGCTTTGTCCCAGGTGTAACAGTTCTTTTACTTGCTTACTTGACTTTGCAGTTTCTTGACTTCACACAATAAAATCTGGTAATAAAATAGACAAAAGCTACTGAAAATTCTTATACAGCTGCTTTCAGCAAATCAAGCCTTTCTATTTCCACGTCTTACAGAAATTAGTAAATTTTATTAGCTTATTTTAATTATGAAATAGAAAGGACATAGTGAAATACCAGAAACTATCATCTTAACTCTACAAGTCCCAATACAATACAATAAAGCCTGTTCAAGCAATATAAGAGTGATTAAGAACAGCAAGTAATGGTATTTCCAAATTACACTCATCCTCAAACCAGATGTTACATTACGCATAACAGAATTATACATAATCTCAGGCTGCCGTAATGATATCAGATCAAGAACCTAAGTTTAAATTTGCAAAAAATAGCTTATCTTAAAAAATTGGCTTTGCATATGAAAGATGAAGTTCTTGTGTTGAAGGAATGATGATATTCATTTTGTGAAATTAGTTAGTGGTTTTACTGACTAAATACTAGCCGGATTTATATCAGTTTAAGTTTAAAACAAATATATTAAGCTTCTCAGTAACAAATAAAAAGGAACCATTACAATCTACAACAAAACATGATTATTTAACTCTTCAATGATATATAAATATCATCCATTTCAAGCAACAATATCTATGACATATGGATCAATAACACATGCACTATTTGTGAATTTAACTCTACATTTTTAATTGGTGAATTTCACTCACAATTTTAATGCACTACATAGCTACTAGCTTCATTTGATTCACTTCTTTTATTTTGTAAAACATGTTTCTAACACATGCAAACCTTACAACTGCAGCCTCAGCTACCAGTAAGTAACAAACTTGAAATCATGTTGTAAAATTTCCATGGAAAGGTAAAGCTGTTGTGTAAGCACAGGGTAAATCACTTAGGTGAAACAGCCATGAGCACAAATTAAAGCCATGTATGTCTCATTTTCCAGGGTAGACAACCCTCCATTGAAACGCAAGATGATTCATCTTTCATGACACTAACAAGGGCTGAGGAGTAGGTAGCTGAGAAGTAGGCTTAAGATACTAAACCTACAATTTTAACCACTCATGACTGTATGCTTATTTTGGGAAATCCTTAGTCCCCACAATGGGTTACCATAAAACACATTGGTAGTTTTTCCTACACTACTGCAACTTCCATAAGCCAATGAGGTGTCTTACTTACCTTCATTTAAGAAATATCCAAAAAAAATTATGCCTTTTCACATTTCACTTTAGCAAGGGATAAGCAATACTTATTATTAGCTCTTTAGTATTTTATTTACATCATTTATTCTAGTCTAACCCAAGACTGTAAATGTTTAAGTAGAAATTATGCAAGTAAATCATTTATTAATCATTAAAATTGGTTTAGACTCATTAGTTACAGAAACTTTTTGTCAGCTTATCTTCCCAGGTTTCAGAAGAACAAGAGTCTCATTTTCTTTCAGAACTGGAGGGATATAACATTTCCAATATTGCTATCACAGACTAATCACTGAAGGTGTTTAGATTCTCAATGCAATACCAGAGAGAGACAATCTCCACAAACCAGTTCTAGATGGAATGCAAATTATTTCGCTAGCTCCACAGCTTGACTCTGGTTAGTTTTGGCAACTAGTATTTTACATTCTTATTTGTAGCTGAAGTTGTTTTAGTAGGTTAGAGTATATTTAGACTTTCATACATATATTTAAACATATTTGTTTACTCTGTGTAAACATCTGAAGATTTTAGGTTAGCCATCCAAATTAAAAACAATTTTATTTTTTGTCAACCCACTGTGCCCAAATATTATCTCAGCAATAGCTTCAGTTTAAGAAACAATGTTTGTGAAAACAATTTCAGCAAAATTTTAGACCATAACTACAATTACTTTATCAATTAAAAACAAAGCATCTCTGCATTTCTAACCTGGTACTCAGCAAGAGGTGATCGCAGAACAAACTCAGCAGAACAAACTCAGCAGCAACTCCCACTTTCAGGCTATAAAGATGCAATCAGTAAGTCTTTCCTACAGAAGAAAAAATGAAGGAGACGGAGGGGAAGAAGAAAATAAAATTTAGAAACAGTAACATGTATAATAGGAAATTTTACATTGATTGTGTAGCCCAAGTATCTGTAACACAGATAGAAGTTTAAGTTTCTCAAAAGTAAAAGAAAGGGTAAGGCATTTTAATAGCCCCTTTTTTAAGCATAGTAACTTAGTCTTGGACCTATTCCTGCTTTAGCACTAGTCATTCTTCAGAAAGGAAGTAGAATTTCTGCTCTTTCATTGGTCAGCTAGGATTTTCAGAAGCCTCAGCAACTACAGATTACATACAGATTAAGGCAGGACTTAATTACCTCATGAATAAAATTTTCCTCGAGTATCATGACATCATTCAGGGTCTACCTGACATGTATTTCTAGTGATTAAGGCATCTTCTAGATAGAAATGGACTTTCACAGATAGAAGCAGAACAGGAGATCCAGTGGTCAAGCTTTCTGCAACTCACTGCAGTTACACCAATCCAGACTATGCCGTCCAGAAAAAATATCAACACAGTTTAAATGAACATTTAAATACACAAAAATTTTTAAGTACTCTTGGTATTAAAAGCAGTTTTCCTCACTAATAAAACAATTCTTATTCTTAATACAAAAACAGACAAAATAACCCACAGGAACAAGAGGTTATGTGTAACATCATTAACTTCCTGAAAGTGAAGCCACTCTGCATTTTAGGAGTGAAAAAAAAAAATGACTTCCAACTGCATTTTCATATCACCTTAAGCACTCCACAAACCCTACCATGTGTGTTTCAGCAATTTAAAGCCAATCAATAATTTCTAGTGTCACTAGACTGAAACTGTGGTCTGTTGTTACTATTTTAGGAGAATTCTGCCACAGCTGAGATGACCTAAGCACAAAGGCAAACAGCGGCCTGTAGGCACGGGGAGTGTTTTTTGCTGTTGTTTCTAGCAGCGTGACTAAATAGTCACTGAGGGCGGCAGGTTTGCCTGAATTCAAGTTGAGAAAGACTGCTTTACATTCAGCTCAGGAGTTAAAAGTTGCGTTCTCGTTTCCACAGAGAACACTGCCCACTAATTGCCTCCGCTCAATCACTTATAGTGCAGCGTTTACAACAGATCTGTGAAGTGATCTGCGGCCATGATTTGATAGACATTTTTTTCAATGTCACTGTTAACATAAGGAGCAGTGGGGAAGCTGCTGCTGCTGCTTACCAACTTGATGCTGCTTTCTCAGTACTGCCAGGACAGCCATTTGTGCAGCCTTGCAGTAAACTGATAGGCTAACAAAAATGTTGTTTTTAACCCTGTTCATTTCCCTGATAGGATTCACACTACATCCCAGAAACAGTTGTCTTGGCATAACAGAAAAAGAGGTCTTGGAAGAGCTGACTGCTCTAAAGCTAATCTGGACTACGGTAGAAATTTATGTAAACCATTCTTGAAGCTAAAACTGTCCAAAGATGTCTCTGGCTGTCTTCCACCCCTCCCCAAAGTAAATGAGGTCACTTAATGGAGTCCATTCTGAACCTCATCTGAAAGAGGCACCAGAACAAAGGAGGAGGTGTTAACCTTTCTGTAAAGTCAGAGCAGAAAGAATAAGCTGGAGTTTCTCAGTGCTGACAGGCTGGGGTGCAATTCCACTGACAAGTCACAGAAGAGGCATTAGGTTTCTGCCAGCTTTGCACAAGGAAGGGATCCAGGAGAGCTCCGAAGAGCCAGGCCCACAAGAGGCAGCAGTTGCACCAGCACAGGCTGCAAGAGAACTGCAACCAGCCCAGAAGCCAGCTTCAGTTACAACCCAACCCACTTCTACCCGGCCGCCCACCCAGGGGTCTCGCACTCCCTTCGCCACTCCCTATGTTAGAGACACAGTTCACCAAGAGCTTGATTTAATGTCAGACTGAAGTGCAACAATACAGCCACTGTTACCAACAGCCAACCCTGCTGTTGGGTCAGGGGAGGCAACAGTTCTGAGGGGCCGGAGTGGAGGACAAACCTGCGGTCACAGCAAGCTCAGCACTGACAGAAGACTGACATGGAACCACAGCTTGGTAAGCCTCAAACCATCAAACATAATTACCAAAGACTGTTTTAGAAAAGCAAGCCAAAAAACTACATTCTTGTAGGTAAATCAGGAGCATTTTGGTTCACTGTAGGATTTAGACGACATACATTCATCACTGAAGCTATCAGCAACAACACTGATCTCAAAAAAAAAAAAAAAATTAAATAGTTTCTCTGCTTATGTAAGTCCATGACTGAAACAACTCAGCTAAAAGATCTTGGTCATTGTCTGGTATTTAAAAAGCAAAACAGAACAACAACAAAACAGACCTCTACTATTGCAGTCTTCTCTTTCAATTGTCCTGGCCTCTAAGGGAAAAGTCTGTGGATATTAAGAGTGCACTGGGAGTATACACAAAGCATATCTGAATTGACATAAAAACAGAAATTTTAAAACACCTATGCTTAAGGCTTGTTCATAACACTATTATTAGATAACTAAGTCACAAAAGTTGTCAGATTGGAGTACTTTGGCTCACCATTTAGTTACTGATTATGGTTTTTCTGGTCACTTCATATATGTTGACTTAAACACCAACTTTCAATAATGAACGTATTTTTCCTTAGGCAACGTAGGGCAGAAGTAACATAATGCATTATGCACAATATGTATGCACACATTAGGTATAAACCCACAGTTGCTTTGTATGTGCATGGCATGTTCCAGCCCATATTCTGAAATCAACTTGAACGTCTCAAATTATTCCATCTCTGCATGAGTTTCATGCTACAGCACACTATTTTTTCATCTGTTATTAACAAACCATGGTGTAACCCCCCAGCGTACGAGAATTCTACTGGGCTGACAGCTCAAGTTATAGTCAAAAAAAATAGTATCAAAATCAGCTTCCACAGACATAGATGGAAACAGGCTACCAGGCTGCCCTAATAATGGAAAGAGCACCAGGCTAGGCTCAGGTGACAGGAACTTACTCCACAGTTTGTGCAATGTGTACTCTGTGTGACTTCATGCAAGTCATTTCACCTCCAGTAACTCAGTTTCTCTACCTGTTGCATGGGGACTACAATATTGGAAGTGCATAGACAAAGCTTAAACCTCCTGGTGAGAAGCTCAATATCGCAGACTTTTTTTTTTTTTAATTTAAATTTGCTGCTAGTTAAGTAGTTTAAAATTTCTAGTGCAAGTGTAACACAAATCCAAGAAACTGCTATGAAGGTAAAATAGTTAAGGAACTTTATCTTGCAGAGGAGCACCATTTCACCTAGAAAAGATCAAATAATGCAAATAAAATCATCAAACATGGACTGAAAGCAAAACTTTAACCATACCTCATGTGACAGCAGGGGGAAAAAAAAACTTCTTATGTATTTTGTATGAAAAGTGGGAAAAAAAAATCCAAACAATCTATTACAGATAATCCTCAGCTATTTGTTCATTAAAGCTAAAGCTTAACCATATAATAAGTGGAGTCTCAGTAGTGCAAGTCCAGAGCTACATGACTATTGAAGTTTCAAGAAGTGCTCAGCTTTGGAGGCTGGTCATTTCTGGACCGTATAGACCTGGACCTCACTAAACCTAAGCTGGACTAGAAGGCATGCAGGTTAGGTCCTGTTTTTGCTTTCTGATTTTCAGAAGTACAGCAAACAAATGCATCTAATTCAACTGCAGTCATTGCTGAGCTGGAGTTACTTAAGTAACCCAGACTGACTTCTCTAATGCACCCAAACCAAGCTACCAGGTAAGAGAAGATCCCTTAACAAGTCACACCACCACACAAAGCCCCAGAACGAGCTTTTTAACTTTATGCTGCATGTACATCGTGAGCTCCCCTGAACTCCACCACAGGGACAGCAGACACACCACTGCTCTAGAGCACTTCCTCCCTACCACGCAGTTTTTCTATCATTCAAGGTATCCAAACTGCCTGTCCTTTCCCACCAGCCTAGATGCTGCGTTACCCCAGATGAGAGGAAGTAACTGCAGCTTCTACAGACCTTTTCCTTGCTTCCTAACAGCTGCTCACCGACCGCGCTCCTCTCAGGAGAAGCTTCTTACCAGTGCGCTCCCTGCTTTGAGGCAGGCGGCTCGTCTTGCACTCATGGGGGTGGGGAGGTGGGTGGGTAAGAGCAATACAAACCTTTAGAACTTTTCAGCTCACCTAGTACCCTTTCAGCTATATATAGCTTTCGAATACAACTACGTAAAAAAATAAGAAAAGGAAACCGAGGTCTCCGCCGGGCGCTGTTGTTCCCGGGGCCGTCCAGGCCGTGCCGGAAGCAAGCAGCCGCCTGGGTGCCGACATCTGCGCACTGCCGGGGCCGCCAGCTGTTTACAGCCTGGCTCCGCCGCCCAACTTGGTTCCCTCTGCGCCGGGCCTGCCGCTCGCGGCCCCTTTCCCCCTGCAGCCCCTTTCCCCTTCTCACCACCCCCTGCCCCCCACCCCGTCCAACCCCTGCCGAGGCGGCGCCGCGCGGCCGTGAGCCCCGAGGCCTGGCTCGGCCTCGCCACCGCGCCGCGGCCCCCCCCGGGCCCCGCTCGCTCGCCAAGGCCCGGCCTTCCCCCCACGGACCCCTCCCCGGTCCGCAGAGCCCCCCTCGGTCCGCCGATGCCGGCCTCGGCGCGGGGGCGGCCCCGCCGGGCCCTCACCTGTGCGCGGGGCCGGGCCGGGCGGCAGTGAATCAGCCGGATCTCATTCAAAGCCCGGCCGCCCAGGCCTGCCGCCGAGCGCTTCCCGGTTCAAAGGGCACGCGGCGGGGCCTTCCGGGCCCGGAACCGGGCGGGTGGGGAGGGGAAAACATTAAAAAAAAAAAAAAAAAAAAAAAAAAAAAAGGAGGAAGGGGAGGCGGTTGCCATGGCAACGCGGCCCGCCTGGCAACGGCGCGTGCCGCCGGCGGGGCCGCGCTCGGTGCACGTGCCCACGAGCGGGTGCGACCGTTACAGCCGTTAGGGCCGTTAGGGCGGCCGCTCCCCGGCCGTGAGGGCGAGCTGCGGGGCAGCGAGGGAGGGCCCGGGGGGACCCTCAGGTAGCGGGGAGCCGCAGCGGCACCCGCGGTGCTCGTGCTCCCACACGCCCCTGCCGGTCACAAGGGCACCTGGAGGAGCGCGGCCTTTAAATGGCGCTGACTGGAATCTGGTCTGAAACCGACTGGAATCTGGTCTGAGGTGCTGAAACTGCTTTGTCGTGAAGTCCCGCGCCTTCAGTTTGGCCGTAGTGCAGGGTCAAGCCGTGGCTGCATGACCCCTGTGCTTCATAACTTCCCAGTGTGATGGCTGAGGAACCAAAGGGTGTGTCAAGTTGGTAAAAGAATGATGAATTGCAACAGTACCACATGTAATCACCTCAAAAGTGGTGTTAAAGGAATTAAGAGGATTTAGAGAAGAGTAATATGCTGGTCAAATGTATGAAAAATCACAGCAGCAGAAATGGGAAAGAGTGGTAATTTTTACCACACAAAGAAGACAAATAGGACATAAGATAAAAGCATGCGTAGTGATGAATAATGCAGAGAAAGCCAACTGGATTTTTCTACTACACTTATGTTACACAGGACCAAAAATAAATAAAATAGAAGAGGAGAACATGAGACTGAGGAAATAATTTTTCAAACGCTATGTGACTGTTCTGGAACTGAGTGCCTCAAAACCTTTTTATGGCAGAAACAATAGAAGTATATATATATATAGTGCATATATATCTAGTTACCAAAAAGGTTTCCATAATGAATGTCCAAGACCAGCATTACAATTTGATTTTGAGAGCTCCTTCGAGGTCTGAGAATGTGAAATTAGAAGATGATCAGCACCTATGCTCACAAACAACTACTTGAAGTAAGTGGAAATATATAGTGTTGTAAATTGCACTGACATGACCATAGCCACATACAATCACCCCTTCCAGGACTCTTTAGCAATCTTGGAAGTCGTAGGTTTTTTATACTGTGATGAGTAAAATGAATCAAAAAAAGAGGGAAACTCAACGTGATACATACTGCATTTTAAGAGGGGTAACTTCTGAAAAAACATATTCCCATAATTGTCTCCCCCATGTCTTTTCAGATCTTTACTAGGCTGAGAGAACTGCAAGAGCTAATTCTCGGAAGATTCTTAAAATGATAAAGAATTGAAATTTAGTTTATATGATGACTGTCATTTCTATTTCATATTATTAAGGCAAAACCTATTAGTGCATTTTATCACTGGAACAGCCATATTATTCAGGAAAAAAAAAAAAGAAGTGTGTGTGTATATCAGTGTATGTTTGTCTCATACAAAAGAAAATTTGAACCCTGCTTCAAAGTGGCAGTTATATTCTATCTTATTTAACCTGGCTAAACTTGAGCTGTGATAGTCTTGTTACTAATATTGTGAGACATTTGAGTATTTTAATGTTCTCTGTTCTAAAAAAAAATAATAATACATTAATAAGGTAAAGTACGAATTAATTGAACTGAAATGCATTATAAATTTTCTTATTTTGTACTGTGTTTTTGAGAGTAATTCTTTTATTCCTTTCTGTTGACTGGAATTCTGATGCCTTAGTGAGGAATACTCATTTTTGATTTTTACTCTTCAATCTTGTGTCGTTTTGGAACTCAGCAGTTCTGGAGAAAAAAAAAATCTTTATGAAAACGTAGCATTCTCCTGAGATAATGTGTATGACAAGAAAAAGCAACATAGGTAGATTTTTGTAATTTATCTGTATCCACTGACTTTGACAAGCTGTGTCATTTAAGACCATCTGAAGATTTGGGCCTTCTAAATACAAAGTGAAACAGACTTTCATTGTTATTCCTAATTACATTTCAAGTCATACTATTGACTTTTTTAATATATACATTTATTGAAATTTTATAAATAATATAGTTACAGAAGAAGAAAAAAGAAGAAAATAGGAGAAATATTTACATTAGAAAGTATAGTGAATTAATTGGATACATAGAGCAAGTATCATAGTTGGTACTTACAACAGATGGTATTTTATATTTTGATATAAAAAAGATATATTCTTAATCGTATATGTCAAAGAAAAGAGACCATATGTTGTTAAACACTTCCAAATTGTTATTTAATCTGAAGGGCACTCTCTTGCATGCTACTAAATCCCTCATTGTTTTTGTCTAACCAGCATTAATCCACAGAATATTTTTATTTATTTTGCTGTAATGAAGCGCTGAATTAAAATGTTCAAGATTTGTTCTTTATTTATTTTATTTTATTACTTAAACGGCTTTTGAAAATCATGAAAACATATTTTGATTGAACCCTTACATTCTTCCAGTTTTCTTCATATTGAATTTTCCTTGTTTGTAGCAAAGTGATCAACAGGAATCAGGCTTGCTAAGGGATCAAACTATTTTTTCCTAACTTCCTGTTTAGCTTAGATGTGGTTTTCCCACAAGTCTGCTTATGATTTAGTTAAAGCAGCAATAATTATGCAGCTCTGTAATTAATGAGCTTAATTTTACAGATCTGAGTGATGAAATTGAAGAGTTGTCTACAGAACGTAAGGAATACACTGAGAGATTGGCCACTGTTTTCTTGCAAATCATGTAAACAAACAGAATGCAATTTTTGCTAGGACAGGAGGAAGTGTCCAGGACTTTATTATAATATATATATATATATTTAAAAAAATTTGCAAGTCTGGGATTAGAATATAATGTGTATGGTAGGATCAGATGGCGTGTTAGAGTTGTGGACAACCACATCTACATTTAAGCATATAAACCAGCACAGGGAATGCATGTACACTGAGGTGTACAAGAGCTGACTTCATCCTTGTAAGGGAATAACAGAGTTGGAAGCAGCACACTTGTCTGGTTGGTTTGTTTGTTTGTTTAGCTTTGAACTATGTTTGGTAGCCAAACATAGAAAAAATAATAGAGGAATGGTAGTTTTTTAAAATGCAGCCTTTTACCCTGGACTGAAGCTCTGTACGTAAGGACTTGGCAGACCTGTATATAGGGAAATGGTTTCTTCTGTCATACTTGGCGAGCACTCAAAGTGCTTAGGATGACCTCTGTGACATCCACAACAGCTTGTGAAATGCCTGCACAATTCTTTGCTGCATGCAGACTAATAAGTGGCCTTGTCACAATGAATAAAATTTTACAAGAATATGGGTTAAAGACAGTAAATAAAATTTTACAAGAATATGGGTTAAAGACAGTAAATAAGAGTGAGAGTACTTTTTTCAGCATTCTCAGCATTTCACAATCAGCTGCAGAAGGCTTTTGGAGGTTTGAAATAGGATTCATTAAGCATATGATTAATGAAAACCTGCAAACAAAACTATTTTCATCTCTCCCAGAACATAGACCCGCCCATTAAATCATGACAAGTATAAACCCAGCATCATTTGGGGTGAGAAGAATGGTAGCAAGGTATTTGGATATAATCCATCCCAATTTAGAAGGTAAGGAATATTAAGAAAGCAAGCATTTCCTACTGTGTGCCATAACTCCCCTCAAAAAAATGGAGCCAAAGGGTGCTGTTTATATTGAAAGTTTCAGTATTCACCAGTCAGTACACATTTCATATGCAGTCCTACAGGAAACTGGACTTTTGTCTTTTTATGTCTATTTAAAGTGATGGCTGAGTTGTGAGAACTATCTACAAACCATCTGGAGAAGATAAGGCCAAGAAAAAATCAGTCTTGCTGGAAATGCTTGTGTTGGGGGTGTCTATGGAAAATTTTTATGAGGCAACAGAGGAGTGGGTTTGTGTCCCTGGCAATTGCAAAGGTGCTACTCTGTGAGAGACAGATTATTTAAATAACTGTGTAGAAGACTGTAAATTGAAGACTGAAAATTAAGAGAAAGGTGGTATGTAAAGTGGACATACTGTGTTGTTTTTCTGGATTGCTGTGGGATGGAACAATGTTCAACCCATTTCTTGTTTTTTTCTTTATTCAGTGGGAGTTTTTCCACTTGTTTGTGACACAATAAAAATACATTTTACATTTCCTTTAGTACTTAAGACATTCTTGTAGTTGAACTGAAACATTCCTTTACAAAATGCTATGTAACTGGCACAATGCTTTTTACCAGTTGCAGGTAGCAAGAGCTCAGAAATTGACTATTTCTATCACTTCGGTGGCTATGTCTGTGTTAGGAAGTGGCACAGACTGGTAGGAACAAATTGGGAGGCCTAAACAGGCAACACAATGTTTTTGTCAGATCCCCCACCCCTTTGGATAGCTCCAGTATAGGCAATGAATTGAATGAGTATTTGCAGCTGAAGCATGTTAGGCATGTTCCTGCTCTGCATTTTGTCATATAAAAGAATTCAGTTCCAGTGAGCTAAAAGCATGGGGCAAACCAAAGCCCCCAAGCGGGGGTAACAGAGAGTTTTGCTTTAAAAGCATGCTCCTTATCTAAACTTAAACATGCATCATCGAGATGCATGTCATCTCTTTTTTTTTTTAATCTTTTTTTTTTTTCTTTGTGGTAAAACTTAACCCACAGTATGAAAAGAAAACGTCAGAAAGCTGGAGAAAAGTGAAATGAGATTGAAGAAGGTGAGGTCCTTCACATTACTACTCATGGCATGCCCAAAGCACTGCGTATATACAATATGTTCTATGGAGAGCCTGAGGGACCTGTAAACTGCTAGATAAAACCCATTCAGTGAATATTTTGATCCTCACAAGAATGTCACTTGGGAAAGGCACATTTTTTACAAGGAACCAGCTGCCAGATGAGACCATTGACCATTGTTAAGATCTTTAAAATAAAGCCAAGTAATGTGAATTGGAGCAGTTAACAGATGGATGAATTACTTGTGATAT